TGTGCGTTCCCGGGAGGTGTTCACCTGAGCTGTGTGAAGCTGACCCCCCACCCACAGAGAAAGGAAAAAAGGCAGTAATTATTGATAAGGTAGTCAGCATGCTGTGGCTTCAGCTGTAGCATTTTCTTTTAAAGAAAGAAAAAGTAGCTTGCAAAGCTGTCGCATCGGTGCTACGTGATTAGAAGCAGAGCAACGCGTCTAATCTCACACACGTCTTCCTATCTTTGTGAGGACCACACACAGCGCTCTGCGCCGTCTTTTTCCCCAAGTTTGGTGAGAGGTGGATATGGAGGGATGCAAAAAATAGCTCTCGACTTGACCTGGCCTTATTTAAATAAAAATGACTACATGTCGTGAAATTCTTAGAGGGGCGGGTCGTCTCGTCCCCACCACCCCGCACAGCCCCGCCTGTATAATGGTAGGGGAAACACTGGGATGACACGTTACAACATTTTGGGCTCCTCTGGTTTAAAGAGGATTTATCTTTCTAAATCCACTTTTGTAGCCATTAAATACAGTTTGTTTCTAGTCTCTAGGAATTCAGAAATTTTAAATTTAGTCTCTCCTGGTGCTGCGTAGAGCTTCAGTTTGGGTCATATTTTTCAGTTCTTTCAGTTTTCTCTATTCTGTTACGATTTCTAAACTATTACTTCAGCATATTTGTGATGGAACGTCTGAATAAGGTCTGGACTTACCAACTACTATTTAGTCGTTTTCATTCTCCTCTGGTTCTGGGTCAGACTCTGGCTCCAACACGTAAGGCTGGATGGACAAGTCTTCTGTTGTTGACATCTTTTAAATAATTTGAAAATAATAAGTTTTTGCGCCCCAAGGTAATTGTGTCTTCTATCAAAGTAGAATGGACCACTCTAGAACCTGGAGAGGGTTGGGGTGTGAAACGCCTCATTTGGATTTAGGAGACAGACACAAAACGAGTTGATCTGAGACACATCTCAGAAAGGGGTAAAAGAGGGGCTTGTGGAGTTACAATAAGGAGACCAAAGCATTGCAGTTCCACTTTAAATAGACCCCAGCTGAAGGATTTAAATGTGAAAAAGAAGGTTTTTAAACATATATCCACTTTAAAGAACTAATTGCTTATGTGGAACCTCTTATGTTCAGAAACCAGTATTTTATTCCTCTAAGTTGAAACAACATGAAAACTGTACAGCTGCAGAGGCAGCTCTGGAGCTGCATTTTTCTAGACACCTTTCGACTTTACTCAACAATGACATAATTCTGCTCCAGGACGCCTGGATGCTTCCACTGAGAGTTAAGTGAGAGCTTAAAGCTGCAGAGTGACTGATTGATGACTTGAGTGCAGGCTTCAGTGACGTCTGTATTTTATCTTGTTCTTTATCTTAATAGAGGTGTAGAAACTGAGACAAACACTTCTGACAGTTATTTCTGGCTGAGCGTGAGTCAGAGCTAATGCTCATTTAGAGCAGAGACGTCTGAACACCAGCATGGAGTCTGGACATCCTCTCTAACTTTCATTAGAAAGGCCGTAGTTAAACTCATCTCCCATTATTGTCTACTGCCACCTGCTAGTCTATTGAAACTTAAACTTTTTTTATCTTGTGGTTGCTTCTGTTTTTTCTTGCAAACTCAGGAATCACGTCAGCACTTATAGGACACTTTAGCATACAGATGCATTTTCATATAGCTGTTTACTTATCTTTGTGCAGTCTTATTCTGTCTTTTACTTGTTAGTTTTATAAAATTACCCCCCAGAACTACAATGATTTTGACTTTTTCTTTGTGTGCACTCAGACGGAGCCTCCTAGTCAGCAGCACGTTCGCATCCAAAAGGAGCTGTGGAGGATTCAAGATGTGATGGAAGCTCTCAATAAAAACAAAGCTCAGAGAATCGCCGTCGATGGGATGGGTTTCTCTGGACCCAAAACCAACTTAAGCAAGCTCAAAAATGAGGTGAAGTATAAATAACGACTTAGCTTTCCACTGTTGAGACAATTAGAGACGCAGTGGATCTATTAATGAACTTCACATAAACTGCTTTGGCTAAATATTTAACTGTTAAATTCATTTGATCAAAATGTCTGGGAATTATTATTTTATTATTGATAAACAGTAGAATATAAAACAATATTAATTGTGTGATACAACTGGTGTTTAAAGAATAGTTCTGCTTTGTTGCACTAGGGTTGTACAAAATCTTTATCAGTAGACAGTATCTAACCTGCAGTGGGCAGCTGTTCGAGTGATCACAGTTTGGAAAATCCAAGAAAAATTCTTCTGGAGCTGTCAAGCTAACTGCTCTTCATAACAGGGCCCAGCCAGGAGCAGGTTTCCATCATTACAGCAGTTCAAACAAACAAATTTAAATTCTTTCACTACTTCGTTTTTCTTTTTCTTTTGTTTGCACAAGTCAGTCGTTTACAATCTCATTATTTTCTCAAACAAATATTGTCCAAGTAGCTTCATGTCGATGCATGTACACAGGTTGCCTCACATTCTGCTTCGAGGCAGTAAATCTTGTTTCTTCACTCGAGGTGACCCCTACACCCTAAACAACTAAAAACTAAAAAAACAACAACAGTGATTAAGAAGGCAACATGTGGTGAAATACTGGGATGTTTAATTGAACCAGATTATACAGAAGAAAATGTGTTACTTAGAGAGAAGATCTAACTCCTGGTAAAATCAGCTCAATCATTTTATAGCAGCTGTTTCACAGTTAATCCTGAAAAAATAGCAACTGTGTAGATAACTGTCTTGTACATTTTTTGATCAGCCTGCTTGGAAATGTTTAAGTTTTTGTTGTTTGAGACATTAAAGATTTGCTTAAAATGGGTCCTGCTCTCAGTAGCCCTGAACCTTCCAGAGCTCCTTGCTTCTCCAAAGCTAAAACTGCTCTGGATGTTGTGTACTGCAGGTACGATACTGACTACTCTGTGGAATCTTGCGTCGAAAAGCTAAATTGTTTCCTGCACCCACACCCTTCTTAATAATATGGATGATTTTCTTAGCATTCAGCCAGTTTAGTTCATGTATGTTGGCCTGTGGGGAACATGAATCAGTGAAGCAGCAACAATACATGGAGCCTTCTCCCTGGCTAATCAGCTGGCCTGCTCCTCCTGTGGGCCAAACCTCTTCTGTACCAGATGGCTGTTGCCCTGATCCTGCACGGTGGCACCATGTGTCACCCAGCTTCATGTCCTGTAATGCCCTGTGTAATCCCCAGGAGGTGGACTCTGTGCCCCCGCGGCCGCCCCTACCCCACTCTTACGAGCCCAACCCCACCATCGTGCCCCCTCCAGCCCCTCACGCTGGTGTGCGCCCCTCGTCCCTCCACAGGCCAGAGGACAGGAAGGCCAACCACAGGAATAGCACACACAGCGTAAGCTTGTTGACCTGTTGGCCCCATGGTTGACCCCGTCCTCAACTGCTTCATCACATGTCATAACTCACTGTCATGTGTTGGAGTTTGGTCATTTATTTATTTATTTTATTTGGATCATTTCTGCTTTTGTTCAACATACTCCCATGACTCATTTTTATGTTAGCGAAGTAACAGAAATCTTGCTTCGTTTTATTTTTTTCCCTGCATAAATAGAAATATGAAGTCATTATTTGTCCATGTCTTAATGAATGTGCTTTCCTGCTGCCTCCATTTTAGCCCATTCCTTTTTTTCCCCAAGTTGTACCTTTTGATTTGATATTTTCTGTGCGTTTTCTGTGTTGCAAATGTTAGTTTCTTCCCAAACCTTCATAGTTCGTCTGAAAGCCAGTGTCCACGTGTTTTAACCTCTCTGTCGTTTGGCAGGGACCTGATTACAGACTTTATAAAAGTGAACCAGAGCTCACCACAGTGGCTGAGGTGGATGAGAACAATGGAGAGGACAGATCTGAACACCCAGCTGACAGAGAACACGCTGGAAGCAAAGGTAAAATACCAAATGATGACGTCAGTGTTTCTTGTTTATGTAATGGTGCCGTTTGGCCTGAATGACCTTTTATAAATTGGCTTTATTGGTAAAACTCACTTTGTTTATAATACTTATGTGTGAAACTTAGTAATTGTAGCAGCAATTAGCAAAAATATGAGGAGACTTATTTGATGTTTTCCCATATTACCATACATTTATTTAACAGTCTCTGTGGAACATTACATTACATTACTTGAATTTTTCACTTTTTGCAACCACACTGTTTCTGAAAGTAGGTTTTGATGAGTCACACAGTCACCTTTTGTGTCTTTTACTGGTCAGGTGTGTCTTATCCAGTTGGCATCGTCCCACCCAGAACCAAATCTCCAGTGCCTGAGTCTTCATCTATAGCATCTTATGTAACGTTAAGGAAGACCAAGAAACCTGACCCCAGAACGGTGAGTCACTGAACCTGAATTGTTCTTGGCAAAATATTTGTTTGAACCTACCAAGTAATAAAAAACAAGTGTATTTCTCATTTTCTTCTTTTTTTTTCTTGTTATTACATTTGCTGTATCATCATGAGTCTCTGTGGGTAGCTAAAAGCTGGAAACCACCTAATTGTGTCGAACTGTATTTCCTTCCTATCCCACCGGAGTGTCACTTGTTTAATAGGTCTGTGTTCACATGGCCGGACTCTGACTCAGGCTCTCAGAAAATAGATGCCAAGTGTTGTTTGTACAGTTTTCAGCCTCAAACGCTATCATTTTCCATACACTAACCATGTGATTAGTGGTACCACACTGTAGGGTGTAGTCCTGTTTTTAGTGTGTCTGCATGGCTCGCTGCTGATGGAAGGATGAGTATATAATATAAAATAACTCTGTGTCACTTTGACACTGCATCACAGGCCAAGACCTTAGATTCTCAGATCTTAAATAATGAGTCCACATCTGCCAGTCCTCCAGCAGGTCACCAACCTGAAAATTAACAGTCACATCCTCAGCTTCTCCTGACAGTAACAAGCCCCCTCCCCCCAAAATCCCTCTGAGCGCACCCATGTGTGTCATCAGGAGCGTGTGAGCATTCAGCCATCGGGGG